AGAGAGAGAGAGAGAGAGAGAGAGAGAGAGAGAGAGAGAGAGTGCTGGCCCTTTAAGCAGGCAGAGTTCTGATGCCCAGGATGAATGCCTTGGGCTCTGTGTTCACAAGAACAGGACGACATCACAGATGTGACAGACCTTTTTATCGTCACCCCACTTAAAGGCCTTGCGGAGAGCAAGGCACTGTCCTGTTCCTGATGCTTCAGAAGGATGTGTTTATGGATACTTGGCTGTGGGCCTGTCACATGTCATGACTACTTACACAAAAACCATTGCTTATGTGAGCTGTGGGTGATATTTAGCTAAAGGCAGTAAGATGATGCTCACGGATGCTGTCTTAGGGATTCTATTGCTGTGATGAAACACCACACACAAAAGCACCTTGGGGAGGAAAGAGTTCCACATCACAGTCCACCATCAAAGGAAGTCTAGGTAGCAACTCACGGTAGAGCTGATGCAGAGGCCAAGCCCAGAGGTGGAGCTTCCCACATCCATCACAAAAAAAAAAAAAAAAAAAAAAAAAAAAAAGCCCCATAGGCTTGACCACAGGCAAATCTGGGGGGTGGGGGAGGACATTTTCTCAGTTGGATCCCTCTTCCCAAAATGACTCTAGCTTATGTCAAGGAAACAAAACAGTAGCCAGCACAGAGGCTCAGTAATAACATAAAAGGGCAATGCTGCAGGGAGTGAAGAAACAGATCCAGTGTGCTCACAAGATGCTTAAAGCTATGTTAAATCACACACAAGAAACACTGGAGGAAGCATGCCAAATGTATTAATGATGTCTGTTTTGGGGTGATTGGTCCTGAATAATTTGTTTTTTCTTTTCTCATATTTATTTAAAGGGATATATTTTACAACATACACTAAAAGCAATGTCATATTTATAATATTAACTATACAAACCCACTTGGAAGAATTTAAAACTAAATTTAATTAGCTATGTTTCCATGTGTAAAAGATGTTACAGTTATGAGATATTTCAAATGCAGAGTAAAGGCATAGAAGATAGAAAACATGCCCACACACATTTATCAGGTACTAATAATTTTATAATTCTTGCTTCAGATAGTTTAAACTTTTAATTTTTATTAAAAATACCATTTTGGGTGGGCAGTATGAGAGGTTGAATCCAGGGTCTCATATGTTAAACCCTTGCTTTATCACTGAGATACACCCCCAGATGAGATTTTTTTCCTTTGCATATTTGGGTATGTATGTGTTTGTAGTATGTACATGCATGGCTTCTTGTTCATATGTGTGCATTCTCATGTGTGCACCTGTGTGTTCAGATGTACATTTGCATATGTGTGCCTGCCTGTGGAGGCCAAAGACTGACATCAGCTAGGTATCTTAATTGCTCTCCACTGTGTTTCCTGAGGCAGACTCTCTTGCTGAGCCCGAGGCTCACAGATTTGACTAGTCAACCTAGCCAGCTTGTCCCAGGGTTCCCTGCCACTGAGCCTCCCAAATTCTGGGGTCATAGGAGAGCTGACACACCCACCTGGCCTTTTGTGTGGTTCTGGGTACCTGACCTCCAGTCTTCATGCTATGACCAAGTGACTTATTTGCTGAGTGTCTCTTCAGCCTGTGGTATTTTCTAAATGAAATATCAATTCTGATATACCTAATGATCTCCACCATTACCTGCTCTGAGGCTGACACACTTCTCTGTGTTTAGCTAGTACACGATGCTACCAAACTGTCCGTATCCTTTGGCAACTTGTTTCTGTGATCATTAACTGCTTCTCCTCCTGCTTGAGCATCCTTGTGCACTCGTGAGCAGAGCCCACACTCTGATGCTCACACACACTGGCAGGAAGTGGAAGTGCAATGCTGTGGAGTCTGCAGACCTTCAACAACCCAGGCCCAACCAGTGAAGACCTGAACCCATCAGGGCCTCCTTGAACATGGTGGCTGACCAAAACTGCCTGTGTAGCAATCCGAGCCTTTTACACACACATGCACACGCACACGCACACACACACTTCTGTCCAACCAAGCCTTCCTGCCTGTGTACAGGGGCATGACTTTTACCCTGTTGTAGGATTTCGCATCTCTATCTGAGGGCAGATTTTGAAGCTTCTGGACAGTTGCCAGTCAGGCTACACAGAGGGCTGTCTCTGCTGGGCCCCAACAGGCCCATCCGTTAAGGCTCTTGCTGGGATTAAAGGCGTGCACCACCAACGCTCGGCTCGGAACCTCTTCTTACTTTCATGTTAAAATCACCTTCCAGTCGGGCAGTGGTAGTGCACGCCTTTAGTCCTAGCACTCGGGAGGCAGAGGCAGGCGGATCTCTGTGAGTTTGAGGCCAGCCTGGTCTACAAAGCTACACAGAGAAACCCTGCCTTGAAACAAACAAACAAACACAAATAATATTCAAATAAAAAATAATAAATAAATAAAATCTAAAAATCACCTTCTATTTTTTAAAAATTTCATACTCTAAGTACCAAAAAAGACCACTGGCTCTGTGGTTCCTTCACTTTCACAGCTGTCTGCTGCTCGCTGGCCTGCTTGGGAACCAGCTCTTTCACAGCATTGCATTTTGTTTTGTGTGTATTTTTTTGAGACCCAGTCTCCCTGTGTAGTAGCTCTGACTGACCTGGAACACACTACGTAGACTATGTCATGACCTTTTAGTGTGCACATCCGGAATGTTCCTGCATCTAAAACTCACACCTGTCTGCTCAGCTTTCGTCAGAGGAAACAGGCAGCATTCCATTCACAACACACTTCAGGGAAAACACTTTCTTATACGTGTGCCTGACGTTTCGAGGACTCGAATGCTAAACCCAGAGGCAAAGTTCCTGGGACACGAATCAAACTTGGGATGGGGGTGCAGATGTAGGCTTAAACCCTGGTTTCAGGGAAGGGTGTATAGGAAGCGTGCTTCCTGAAGAAGCAAAGTTTTGACAATGGAGGAAGAAAATAAGTAGAGGTTGCATGAACTGAGTGGTTGAAAAATCGTACCAAGAGCGGGGGATCAAATATGCAGGGCAGGGAGTTTTTACATAAAATGGGATAGTGGAGATGAAAACTGCTGCTATTAACATAATTGAACACCTTCTGTTTCTTGTTTATTTCTGACGACAGCCTATGAAAAAGGTGCCCTATCTCCGTTGGTCAGATGAGGGAGCTAAGCTGCTATTCACACCTGTTAGGCTGAGCTACTACTTGCCATCCTGTTTGGGAGGGGGTGAGGACACAGAAGGAGACCACGGGAGACCATGCTGGGGAGGGCTGAGGCAGCACATTCCTGGTCCCAGACTTCTTAGCAGAACAGGAGTGAGGCCAAATCCCTGAAAGATGGTGTGATCCCGGGTGAGGTTCAAGAAAAGCACATGAAAATTCACTTCAGGGTAGTCACTCAGGGCTCACTCAAAGCCGGGAGCTGGGCAGGAGGAGCCGGGCAAGAGAAAGTGGGCCGAGATAGCTGAGCAGGGAGAGCCAGGAATGACTAACAAAGGGGTCTAGGAGCCAGGCAGAAATCTAGCACAGGCACAAACGAAGACAGG